TTGCAATTGACTGATAGTGATTTTTGTCAGTGTTGATGGTATTCAAGCGATGGTCCAGATACTTTGAAATTGTACCCAGGGCACATATTACATTGGTACTACCTTTGCTTTCTTTTGCCATGGTTTCTGTTCGCATATTTTTATATTTTATGATTTTTCTCCAGATCTTTCTCTTCTATTCTGCTGCCTTCAGGCTTTGTAACGTTAACTCACCAGAGTTTTTTTTAATCTTTCTCATCAACAGTTGTTAAGTCTGGGGCATTGTGTGGCAGATGCTTGAATCCTTATGTCACAGAGCACTTTGGCTTCTTCATTTTCAATTACTTTATCTATTTTGTGGTCCCACCAGTTCTTGCTAACAGGCTAAGTAATAGAAAATGAAGAACTAAAGGGCTCCGAGCCTTTAGAATTCGAACAGATGTCTGCCACTCAACATATAAATTATGGTTGGTCAGCCAGATGTTTAGACTGGATTTAGCATTTTCCTCTACTTATCGGTCCCTCCCAAGGTCATGTTTGTAGAATGTTATGTTTATATAGGACACAGTACTGACAAAAGTAACAAAACAGAATTTCATCAGCTATAAAGAATGAGAGGTAAAACTGAATGCTGGATAAAGATAATTTCATTTAAAGCAGACAGTGAAGGTTATATAATAAGTAAGAGCCGGCCTGTGCTGCTTCAGTGTATTATGCAGATTAGTTTTGAATTGTTGAAATGTTCTTTAAATAAATAAGTGAATAAATATGTTCTATCCACAGGTATTATGGAAGCACTGTGAGAAAATCAGGACCCATCAACTTCCAGGAGCCCAAATACTGTGAGGAATCTCTAGAAACAATTGCAGCATCTCTCATTATGTAAATCAATTTTTAGAAGACTCCTTTGCAAGATCTCATTCCTTTGAGATAGCAGAAAAAATGGTATTCATAATACAAACTGAGATACCAACCTCCACAACTATTATGTGTCATTATTATCCACGGAAGGCTTTACTGGATCATGAAAACATATAAAAGCAATCCCAGGCAAAAACATGTTTTGTGTTTTGTCTCCTAACAGCAAAATGTATTTTCTTATTTCAATTGATGCTCAAACCCTTCCAGAATACCGTTACATTTCAATGCAAGGAAAATGGAATAGCAATGATTTAAGGTACAAGGTATCTTTAGGGATAAAATAATTCAAGTTACTTTACTTTATTGTCATTGCACCTCGTACAACGAAATTAAATGCCATCTTCAGTGTACAATATACATAAGAAAACAATAAAAATAAAACAAAAACAGACATCCTCAACTCAAGACCAATAAACTCAAACTCAATCCTTCACATTCTATACTATTGAATTAAAACCCCTGATATTGCATTAATATTGCACTATTCTGTAGAATTCAATATAGTTACTTTCTTCATAACACAGTTGGACCAAAAAGGTGAAAAGATTCACCCAAAATCCATATGATTCTTCATTAATGTATAACTATTCATGTTTAAAATGCAGAACGGTAGCATCAGACATTGTTCTGTACAAAAAGATCCCACTAAAAACACATTCTCAAATTAAGGTCCCTTTTAGTGTTTTAGTACTTAGTGTTTTGGAACCATGCCTTGCCTTCGTTGGCTTGGCTTCTGAAGAAATACACCATGTGCTGATATCGCTAAACACATTAGCAGATTGTCAACTAACACTGATGGCCCACTTTTAATTGCAGTTCTGTATCGAACATAATGTATATGTCTGTGCTTAAGCAACAAAAATAAAAGGGCACATTTTCTTACCTGCTTTATGGCTGTCACAGTTATAACAAAAAACAATGGCAATCCACTAGTAATTGGACTAGTAGGAGTATCTATCATAAGCTGGAAGAGAAAACAGACAGAAAGAATATGCATACGAGTCAAATTTTGGAAAGTCTATGTTTGCATTTGTATGTTATATTCAGAAAACTGTAAATAGTGGTTTGTGGTTGCTACTGTAACACTGCACACAGTATATACTACAATATTTTATTACTCTTTGGAAATGGTTTGTAGCTTCCAAAAATTACCAAAGCCAATCAGATGTTGGTGGATAGACTTTTGATGTTATTTATTTATACTGTATGTTGTAACAGAGTACAGCATTAACCATTTATTTTCGGTACTCAAGCTGCTTTTTCCTGCTGGGAGATCCTTGTGAGGTTCAGTAGCCAGAATGTGTACGGGTTGCCTTGTGATGTGACGAAGCCTGTTGCTGATTGCACAGAGGGAGTCCTTAACTTATGACCATACCTGAACTCAGAATTATGGCTGTAAGTCATGCCGTTCGTTTAAGTGGGTCATCACCACCCGACTGTGCCCAATGTTATCACTTTTTAAACAGTTAAGTGAACCCATCTTAGCTGGAAATTGGATAATCACGAGCATGTGACACTGCAAACCGTCCTAATTGGGGGCTGGTTGCCTGGTACCCAAAATGCAGTCACATGACATCTGTATGTGTGTGTGTGTGTGTGTGTGCGCGCGCGCATGCGTGTGTCAAATGGAACTTTGAAACTGGTCATAAGTACCTTTTTGGGGGGCCTGTTATAACTTCAATGGTTGCTAAGAAACCAGTCATAAGTCAAGGACTACCTATAAAGGACTTTAATGGCATTTGGAAAGCAGCCAGATTCTCACCGATTTTAAAATAGTCCAAAACTGAAAATGAACTTGGCAAAAATTTCCCTTGTATACCTGCCAGATTAAAAGATGCTTGTCGGCAAGCATACCAATGTGTTGTCAATAATGAAAAATACAGACTGTGCTAAGAATTGTTGCAAGATAGCATGTGGTAGAAGTTCAGCTGCAAGATCTTGGTTAAACACACAGTGTGAACACAGCATTCCACTCAAAGTAGAAATGGAAGAAGATTGTGTGCACTGTGACAAAACACAGATCTCTTGCATATGGACCAATCCTAAGGGTGTGTGTGTGTGTGTGTGTAACGTATTCTATTAGGCAGCAGCTCTAAAGGCCAGTATCACCAATCAGTCAATCAATCAAATTTATATGGCAGTCTATCTTACAGAAAATTATTCTGAGTGGTATACAACAGTCCAATAAGAGTATTTGGATTTGGATTTTATTGGGTATTCCCAAGGGACTCAGGGCGGCTCACAATAAAAAAGGGGAAGGGATACAAAAAATAAAATAAAATAAAACAAAAAACAATTTAAAATTATACAACAGCAATAACAATAGATGTATAAAACAGTCATTATCTCAAAACATTATACTAATTTAAAAATTATTTTAAAGAAAACTAAAACAGAAAAAGAAAATAATAGAGGGATGTCAATAATAACAGAGCCACCTCATGAGTTCACCCGTTCCTTGGGGTCCCAAGGGCTGCTGACATAATCAGGTCTTGAGGGACCTTGGAAATCTCAGACGTGATGAGGTTTTCCTTCTCAGCATAAACAGGATAGGGATTTTGAAGGGGATGCAAGCATTGTATTTCAAGCATGAGCAATCTTAAGATGCTGAGATGTGGCAGAATTGTGATAGAAAAAAAAATCAGAATTCTGTAGGCAATGTAATTTCCTGTGACATTCTATGGAAGTGTAAGTTTGAACACCGATGTTGGAAAAATATTTTGAGAGTAGCTTGTAATAACCAAGGAAGCAAATGGATCATCAAATAAATCAACCCAGAGTTCTCACTCAAGACACAAAAGGCTCAAATGATCATACTCTGAACACGTATTGTGAAGAAGACTATAATGCTGGAAAAGGTAGAAGAGAGGAAGAAGAATACCGAAGTGGATGGACTCAGTTACAGTGGCAAGAGGCGCTCTGTTGGAAGACCTAAAAGACCAGGTTAGGGATAGTTTGTCATGGAGAACATTTGTCCATGTGACTGCTGAGAAAGGGCATTGACCTAATGGCACATAATCAATCAATGCTGTGAATTGTATAAGATAATCCACAGAATATGTATACAGGTGACACATTAAAGAAAAGCTATTTGTCAACAGAAAGAGGAATTATGATAGAAAGCATAGCAAATTGTGTTGGAAGCAAAGAGGAGTACTTGAAGTTGTTAAAGGGCAACAGATCTTCATTTCTGAATAAGGTAACCTATTAATTATCCTTTGAAAGTTGGGTGATTTATGAAATATTGACTATAAAGGCTGCACAGCTATTAGTAGGTTGTTCTTTGTTTCTTAAATATTTGAGAAATGCTTCTATTCTAAAAACAATAGTACAAATAATTCCACTCTGATTTCATTGAAAGAGAGGTATAGTGAAATATAGAAATTCTAAACCATTTCATGGATAAATGTCTCATATGACCATTATATCACTATTGATACTTCTTTTATTCACATAGTAAATGTTGCAAATGAAACTGCTTTTCTGAATTTATTTCAGAGCGGAAATGTAAAGAGTTCAGCCAAAATAGTGATGAAGCTGGATGTAAAGAAGAAAAAAAAACCAAGCTAAAACATATACAAGCCTTACTGATTAATTGAGCTTGGTACTTAACAGTTAACATTTAAACACTGCTTAAAACTGTAGAACTTTTTTCTGCTAAATTTAGAATCCTTTCCATTGAGGTTTTTAGACAAAAGAAGCTTTATCACAACTTGTGAAATACGAAAGTGTAAATAGAGAAGAAAGACTAAGCAAAAATGAGTAACATCTATTTTCTGATTTCATTATCGTATGTACGGGAACATTGAATAATGAAAGGGGGAAAAAGCATGCAGTAGGTGACAGTCAGGTGATTTTTAACAGTTTTATTGCAACAGCCACAACATGGATATCATTGCAATTTAGGCCTGAGGCAGCATTTGCAAAAGATATAAAATGTAATACATAAATGGAATTAAATACTACAGTGGTTGGTGTAATACAGTACACAGGATATACAGCATACAGAAAACACATCTGAAGAATACATTGTTCAGTCCATTCCTCAGAACAAGGTTTTGTACCACATTTAGAAGTTGAGAACTGCAATCTTGTCATATGCAGAGAGATTTAAGATAGATTTCCCCATGAAGTTCATAATTTCATATTTCCAGGGGGATTTTTTGAGAGCCTGTTCTTTCGACAGGGTATAAATAAATCTCTTTTCCATCCTGTTAGCTTTGGACAACAATCAAGTCCATGGGTCAACTCTATGTGTCTCACCTGCTGTTACAATGTATTGATTGATTATGTGTCATTAAGGCATTGTGGACTCTTAGTGATCTCGTGTGTGTGTGTGTGTGTGTGTGTGTGTGTGTGTGTGTGTGCGCACTTTATATATATAATTACAATATTTTAAATATCTGCTACCATCTTGTGACGGACGACAGCAAAAATCAATATAATCTCAATAGCACAAGGCCCAAACAATAGCTAAATTTCTGATTATAGTACTGACCAGGTTCCAGGAAAGATGGAGGAAGCAAATGACCACCCATCGGACC